GTTAGGCAAACCCCCTTCCACTTAGCTACATGCCCAGGTCCTGTGTACTTCTTTACATTGAACCAGTGTAGTCTTGTTTAGATGTGAGTAAAGTATAGGTCTGGAAGGAAAGATGATAAACAGCACATTAAGAAGGATCATCATAATAAAAGTGAGTGAGTGGAGGGCAAGAAGTCAGTTTCTACATAGCTGTAGCTATTTTGAAAGTTTTGGATGGCTGCATATTTGCGTTGTAAGTGAAAATGAGAAACCCTCCTGTAACGATGTTTTGGGCCTCCAAACATATATAATTTGTATGATAAGAATGAGTGGACCAGAAAGGGGGGAAATGGGGGCAACTTAAGAGGGTAAACCATGATGGAGGGGTGAGAGATAAACAAAGCCTAGCTAGTTTTGAAAACCAGAGAGAAGCATATTACTCCTACAACCTCCTGACAAATTATACATAGCATATCAAGAAATATATGTCTAGGTAAGGTTTATCTGAGAACAACTTGTCTTTGCCCAAGATTTATCTACATGACACACAGTAATTAAAAATACTAGACTGGTGGAACTAACCTTCTTGGATGTTTAACAGACATACTTTGAGTTCTATAATAATTTGGTCACAGGGACATAAAGGACACTTTTTGCTCCTTGCCCTCCTAGGTTCACTAGTTCCAGGGACCTATGAGCATCTCTCAAAATGTAGTATAATGGTGGTGGGTCACCTGTCCTCTTGATCAAGGAGGCCAAGAAGACCCCACTAGATGGACTTGAACCAGTGTCCAGTCTATAAAGAGGAGGGTCACACAGAGGAGTCACTTCCTCCATGCTTCTAAGTGAAGCCAACCATGGTCGAGCAGGACCTTTGACTTATCTTCACATAGGCGGAACTGGTAAAAGGAAGGAGCCAGGGGCTCCTCCCAAGCCCATGTGACCCCTGAGGAACAGATCCTCAAACAACCTTAAGAGTACAAATAAATCAGTTTATCTGGACCAACTGTGTGGCCTTAAACACCCAAAAGGAAAATATAACCAAAGATTAAAGGGG